GTGAGGGGAGAGGTGGTGGGTGCATGTAGTTATAGTGAGGGGAGTGGTGGTGGGTGCATGTAATGAGTGAGGGGAGAGGTGGTGGGTGCATGTAGTTATAGTGAGGGGAGTGGTGGTGGGTGCATGTAATGAGTGAGGGGAGAGGTGGTGGGTGCATGTAGTTATAGTGAGGGGAGAGGTGATGGGTGCATGTAATGAGTGAGGGGAGAGGTGGTGGGTGCATGTAGTTATAGTGAGGGGAGTGGTTAGGGTTAGGATTAGATCGGTTGGTGGTCAGTTACATGTTCAGTTCATGGATACGTGTTCTGACAGGTTGGCAGGTAGGTGGGTATGTGTGGATATTTGTTTAGTGATCATATATGATCATATCAGGGACATGGTAAACATATTCCATAACTTCACTATTTTTTGAGTATGTATAGTGTGAACTGCATGATTGGCCATGTTGACAAGAGACTTTGTGTCTCTATGTGGGGTTTTCACTCATTACATGCCAGCAAGAATCTAAAAAGCTTTGTTATTTCATCAAGGAACTGATGACCAGATGTTGCTGAGAGTAATGCATGCAAACATAAACAGTCAGCGCTGAGAAATCTATCCCCGATGTTACGTCATTGTTTACTGTAATGGTGACCTTGATCCCACTCGATCTTATCTCTTTGCTATTCTATGTCTGGCTTGTACCCTTCTTCCACTCCTGCTATTCCCTTTATCTGGATCAATCCACAAATCAACAGTACCTGCTAACAAGAGTGCATTGACGTTTAATGTTAATTTTGTGAGATTTTTGTTGTCGTTCGCACTCACACGGCACAATAGCGTGTGCGCGTGGTGCCGTGGGTTTTTTATATAGAGGACGCGTTGCAGCTCGGCACCTCTTCAGTGAATCACGATAGATGAATGTGTTAAATGATGATAACAGTAACGTGCTACCAGCCGTTATCGTAGTATGTGGTCGCTACACAGGTGCTCATCTTGCTCTACGTTGCCAACTGGATGGTGCACTACATGTGGCGAAAGAAGCTCGACCCGGACCACGCGGCCATCCCGTATCTGACCGCCATCGGTGACCTGGTCGGCACCGGTCTGCTAGCCTTCACGTTCCTACTGCTGTTTTGGAACAGAGACAACATGGACGCCGGCTACTTGTTGTGACCTGAGGGCCGTGAAGCGGGAGGCGGTGTACCGGTGAGCCACAAGATGCGACGCTGGCTAACTTACGTTGGAGACCGGGGCGTGAGGGGCGGGGTGTAGGTTGGAAGACAAGATATGGATAGCTGGCGGGTTAGCTTGTTGCCTGACCTGGGGCGTGAGGTCGGGGATGTAGGAGTGGCAGAACAAGCTGGACTGCGGGCTACTTGATTGTGACCTGGGCGTGAGGGGAGCGCAGGGCAAATGTATGTGGAGACAACTATGGACGCTAGGCTACTTGTTGTGACCTGGGCGTGGGGACGAGAGAGGGGCCCCGTGTAGGCTGGAGAGAACAATATGGACCGCTGGCTACTTGTTTTTAGACGCTGGGGCGGAGCGAGGAGAGGGGTGTAAGGTGGAGACAATATGGGAGCGCTGCTACTTGTTGTGACTGGGCGAGTGAGAAGGGTGTAGTTGGAGACAATATGGATGCTGGCCTACTGTGTGTGACCTGGGGCGGCGAGAGAGGGGGTCGCCTAGGTTGGAACGCCAATATGGACGCTGCGCTTACTTGATTTTACGCTGGCGGTGACGAGGAGAGGGGGTTGTAGGTGGCAGAACAAGATGGATGCCCTAGGGCTAACATTGTTGTGACCTGGGCGTGAGAGAGGGGCTGTAGGTGGAGACAAGATTGGATGCTGGCTACTATGTTGTTGACCTGGGGCGCGAGGAGAGGGGGTAGTAGGTGGCAGACAGATATGCAGCCGCTGGGCTAGTTGTTCGTGACCTGGGAGTGGACGGTGCTAGGTGGAGCCAATATGGACCCACCCTGCTACGATCTGTTGTGACCTGGGCTGGAGGAGAAGGGGTGTAGGTGGAGACCAATATGAGACGCTGGCCTAGCATTGTCTTTGACCTGGGCGGCGAGGAGAGGGGGTGGATAGGTGGAGACAATATGGACGCTGGCTACTTGTTGTGACCTGGGGCGCGAGGAGAGGGGGTGTAGGTGGAGACAATATGGACGCTGGCTACTTGTTGTGACCTGGGGCGCGAGGAGAGGGGGTGTAGGTGGAGACAATATGGACATGGCCGTCTGGCTCACGTTGGATCCAGGGAGTCGGGTACATACTAGATGTTACGTGGCGAAGTGTTTGTCTGTCGCATGCCATGTCATGTCGTTTGATGACCTGTGTCTGCAGCGTTCCTCCTGTTCATATCTGCTCACCGGCCAATTCATGTCTAATCGTTAGGTAATCACAAGAGCTAGGAAGCAGGTGGGATGTTCAGTGCTGGAAGAGAAGGAGGATGTGAGGATGTTCAGTGCTGGAAGAGAAGGAGGATGTG